CTAGGGTCACTGAATAGTCACTATCGAACAGTGATGTGAAAGAACGAACCAACCAACCAACCAACCAACCAACCAACATCAACTCGTTTTTTTTGTAATCCCTGCTCGACGCATAACCCTCCTTTCAGTAGAGGGAATCATGAATAAATCTCATTTGTTTTGCTTGTCAAGTTAAGAAAGTTAAAATGATTTTTGTTTTTCTCTTAGTAATTCTCGCCAATGACATAAGAGGTAATCATTTCAGTTTCACAAGAAAATATCAACGAAAATCTGACCAATTATCTTTTTTTTCAACGTATAGCTCTTTCTTATAATCAACCCAAAATATGTCCAACTGGAATATGGAAATCACATGGAAATTATTTTGTTTTTCAAGATACATTGGTTTCCCAATGTTCTACCCTGTTTGTTGATTCAAACAATACGATTTATTATGCTGATCATCAAAAAGAACAAATTATCGTTTGGTTCAAAGATAAACCTCAACCTATATCCATTAGCTATCTATTTCATTCAGAGTTAACTTCTCTATTTGTATGGAATAACGGTGATATTTATATGAGTGATGCTAACAAAAGAATTCATAAATGGATAGCGAGTACAAATATCTTTGTCTGCATTATAGATACCAAAGCATTATGTGTGGGATTGTTTATAGATCTTAACAATAATTTATATTGTTCGATGACTAAAGAAAATAAAGTTATGAAAATATTCTTGAACGATAATGATGGAGTAAATAAAACAATTGTAGCTGGTACAAATACTTTCGGTATGGCTCTGAATCAACTGAATGGACCTTGGGGAATCTTTGTGGATGCAAATTTGAATTTATATGTAGCAGATGTACGAAATAATCGAATTCAATTGTTTCACTTTGGCGAAATGGTTGGAAAAACAGTAGCAGGAGAAACTTCATTAGATATTACAATTCAACTTTATAATCCTTACTCAATTATATTAGATTCTGATGAATATCTTTTTATTGCGGATACAGAAAATCATCGTATAGTTGGATCAGGGCCAAATGGTTTTCGTTGTCTAGTTGGATGTAATAGGAATGTTGAGACTTTGAATAAATTATCACGACCAAGAACACTCAGCTTTGATACAAACGGAAATTTATTAGTTGCTGATACATTTGCACAACGAATTAAAAAGTTTAATTTGCAAAAAGATTCTTGTGGTGAGTCGAAAATACATTGCGTTTAATAATGTTTTTGTTTTTAATATTTAGTAATTGCTCCATCTACTATTGGAGAAACGTATTCATCAATATTGACATCCAATCATACAATGTATTCACGCACCCTATTCGATCATTCATATTATCATTATGAAGCTATAGGAATAACTGTGAGTAAGACTAACTTCTATATTCTGACTGGTAATGGTAGTGTACATCTCTATGGTCATGTGTATAAAGATTATTTTGATCGATTTAATCCTACTGAAAATCTAATTGCATGGAATGGAAATTGTTGTAATAAAGATCAATTCAAATTCACACTTGAACTTCAAATCAATGTTAAATACATATTAGTTGTAACAACATATCATCCAAATGTAACAGGTACGTTTTTAATTACAATATTTGGCTCAGATAGTATTTATCTGAAAAGTATCGGTGAGTAAAATATACTCTTGATAGAAACGTAGTGATTTTGTGTTGATTTTTATATTGAATATAGATACGGAACCATCAATTGAATCAAATTATTCGTTTGTATGGACGGACGATCATAAATCATACGCTCCTTTTGTCTGTGATGACGATATTGTTCGTCCTTACGAAGCAATACAAATAGATGTGAATGAGACTGGTTTCTATACAGTTTTTCAACATCGTTATACAGATAGGTACAGTTACATGTATGAATCTCATTTTTATTCTCTTATACCACATGGAAATCTGATTACGAAGAAACTTAACTATTTCAATTCTTTTTCTGGTCGTCCACTTACTGTTAAACTGATGAATAATATTAGATATATATTAGTCGTTACAGGAACATATATGGGGCAGGAAGTTACTGTCAAAATTCTTGGTAAAAGTAAAGTCAATTTATTACGCACACGTGAGTAATATAGAAACTCTGTTACAATAAAGGATTTATGTTTCTTTTGAATAGATGCTTTGCCTGCTGTTGTTTCGCATTACTCGTTACAAACAACAACACAAAATCAGACATATGCAAAAGGCTGTACGAGTTGGCTTTTTTATTATGAAACTATTCGATTAACTGGTTTTACAAATGCATATTATTCATTTTCCGGTGCGAAAAATGTACGTATATATCCGTATCTCTATAAAAATCATTTTGATCCATTGAATCCAAGTCGAAATTTGATTTCAATCGAGCGACATCTTTGTGAAGATCCTTTTCAAAATGCAGACATGTTCACAGTTAAGCTTCAGGCGAACACCATATACATATTATTGTTGACAACTCATGTTCCAGCCAAGTTTGGATATCCATTAACAATCGTAGTAATTGGTCCAACCATGGGGTGGAAAATCTCAAATTATTACCAGTTTTCAAAAATAACGTCCTAAAATTTTCATACTCAGGAGTCATGAAAATTTTAAAAAATTCATATTGTCTCAGGTTATTTATTTGAAGTGAGATGTTCTAAAATTTCCGATATCGTTTGAAAAATATAACTGGTTTAGTTATACTCATTCAAAGTATCAGATATCAGATATTTACTTGTGTGAGAAAATTTCAAATTCCAACTGATAATGAAGAAATCAATGATAGTCTGTCATTCATGCCTAGAAAAAGACAGAAACTCAGCAGATATCAGATATTTACTTTTCGCCGAAAATTTTGAAGTGACGAGTTTGCAAATCATATTTCAATGGATAATATACATCATAAAGAATTCGTTCCATAAGAATGCTTGTAAACAAATAATCCTTCACATTTAT